TGAAAACATATTTTTGTTTAGTTTGTTATCCTTGCCCTGCACCTCTGATTAGCGACGGTTGGTTATGTACGTTGCGAAATAAGCTCAACATGCAAACATATAAAATCTCGCCAAATTTAAAAGTGCAAGAGCACAGGCGCTATGATGCAGCTGTTTTTCAAATGACCCATACTCCTGAAATTAAAGAGCAGGATTGCGTGTCAAATGGTGTCTCCTGCTACAGATCAAAACAGACACCACTCAGTGTAATAATACAGAGAGTAAGCCTCTAGCTGCTTTAATGCTCATGTCTTCGGAAGACCTGACAGAAGATTCCCCAAGGTCAAAGCAGTCAGTGCAATCGGAGGCACGGATAGCGGTGTAGTCCACAATGCAGGCAGCAAGACCTTTTTTAGGATGTATTTCAGAATGCCATGCTCATGTGACTATTGACAAGCTGGTGTCCACATTGTTCCAGGTTACGTTGATAAAGGGCAGTGTAAAAAATACAACATGCCGTCATGCCTGTCTGTTGCACGGGCCAATTCCTCAAACTCTGAGTTTAACAGGAAGTAAAAAAAAAGGAAACAGGAGCCATTTTACAGCTTGAGAGTGTAATAAAAATAGCATATCTTGCCTTCGCTTTCCAATACGAACTGTATAATTCAACATCTTAACCCAGGTACGCCCACTCTGCGAATCTCGTCGAGTACCACGGTAACCAATCTCGATCACCACCAATGATTAGAAAAGGATAACCAAATCCCAGACCTCCATTTTGTTGAATCACACACACGATGCTTCTGGTTATCGTCACGACAATCTAACTAATTTTGAGCCACAAATGGGCCCGAAGCTCAGTCTGCCCTTCAAATGCGTTTCAATGTCGTCTTGTGAAAAAGTTGCTTTTTGTTCGCAGGGATTTCCACTGTCAGCCTCCAAGTCACGTTTAAACGGATGTGTGGATGCTTTAGAGCACACAGAGAGAGGGATTTTCCCCCCTATTCTGATTGGACTGACAAGCACAGAAGCAAGGCTGCTTAAAAGACAAAGTGAAGCCACCCCACAACTCTCCTGGATCAATCATCCTGTCTTTATAAATGCTGACGACGACATTGATCCGGTTTACTATCATGCATGGGATGGAGATAGGGCAGAGGGATTCCTTCCCTACTCCGGCAAATGTCAATCTTGTTGTAAAGTGGGACAAGGCGAGGATGGCAGAGGTGCGTGCCTTATCCCCCCGGCACCGAAGCCAACGAGCCAGTCAAAGTTCAACAAAGGAGGCAATCCTGAAATGTTAATCATGCCTTAACATCATTCAAGAGGAATGAGATAACGAGGGAGATCGATGCAGTATTAGCACGCCAAATCAACACGACTCAATAAGCACCAATGAGTAAGCTCTTGCATTGTTATGACTGGGCAGGCACTAGACCTATTTGTATCTTACGGCGATTCAACCAACTCCTTCTCGGCAACAATGTGGCTTTTCGATTTAAAGCTTTCGTGACTGCAATGATTCATCTTCTTTGGTTCTTTCGGTAAAGTCACGTAGAATGAGAATAAAATCAATCATATTATGATTTTATTCTCATAATATGATTTTATTCTCATAATATGATTTTATTCTCATTCTACGTGACTTTACCGAAAGAACCAAAGAAGAACAATGTGGCTGTTAAAACCGATGCCCCCATGTCACCTTTGTGGGCCGGTAGATAGCACCCTCTAATTATACACCCAGTAGTGTGTCAATTTGTGCATCTGTGTATAACCGTCTGAGTGTCTCGGGGTGCGCATGTCACCTTTTTAGAGAATCTTGTGCCGATGCGTCCCTGTATGTGCGTCGGTGTGCCTGTGCTTACTAACAGCACTTGTCCTCAACAGTCTATGTAGGCTAGATGGGTGGTCTTTGTCTTTGTGTGTGTCAGTATACATGTGTATGGCACAGTGGGGAGCAGCAGTTTAGTGGTCAGTGTGCTGCACTACGAACCCAGTGACCCGATTTTGAGTTTCCGCTCATGGCAGTGACGAATATCTGAGCCGGTCCTGGGCCTCCCCTAGGTTGACGCTGCCTCAAATGAGAACGTAGTGCAGTGTGCAAACATAGCCACGAAGAAGACAAAGGTGGCCAGGCATGGTGCTGGTTACCCACCCGTTTTGTGTGTTGTGCCAGCCGTCATAAATGATCACAAACAGCACTTGCCCCAAGTCTGCTTAAGGCTATATGGGAGATCACTAGCACAGAGGGGAGTACAGGTGGTGAATCTGCCAGCCATCTCAGTCAGTAAAACCATAACACTTGGGTCTGTCATGTGACTTCCTGCCAGCCAGCCTTCAACACTTCACATGGCCTCGGCATGCACCTGACCTGGCACAGGCGCCGTAGTGACGTCACCAATACTTAGTGGCAAACGGAAGTTGCTGTTGTGCATGTCACTTGCTACAGGTCATTTTCTGTGTTTGCATCGTAATATCACCTCGTCCAAGCACAATACACTTTAATGCCATCCTATCAACAGGACAATTAAACTCTTATTAGACCTTCAACAAATGCTCCTACACGCTTCATGTTTAACAAATCCTATTAGTCAATAACGGGAAGCTCCGACCACTGCCAATGATTCCCCTGCACCGAATGCTAATGCACACCTTCCACCGACACCTTCTCATTGGTCGAGCTATGACAGCCATTGTTTATTATAATCGGGGCCTCTACATGAATTTATCCACATAGGGTTTTGTCCAACGGAAATATGTATTTATTTCTAATAAATTAACTTGAATGAAACCTCACAAATTCCAACTCTCACTCTTCAAATCCGTAAACGACTCATAACGATATTTGAAGATTAAATAAGGCATTTATGATGTAGCGGCCTAAAGATGAATGATAACATCTGGGGCAAGCTGAGAATAATTTGCATTATTTCAATCAACTTCACTACGCTTTACCGTTTCTTTTGCACCGCTGATGTAATTTCGGTGCTGAAATATTACCAACTCAACGCGAATAATAAAGTATAATTTAATGTTACTATTTATATTCAGCTTTGAGGATTTTCTCCTGACCTTGTGCATGAAGATATTAAGGAATTCTGTTATGCGTAATGACGTTCATTAATATTTTAACGGTAAAGCACATTGGTCTTCCATTGTCTTAATGGTGGCATTTATAACACATATACGGTTAAGTGAGAGCTATTGTCTTAACTATGTTAACGTCTTGCATTATGCGCAAAGACAGAAAAATGTACGGTTTAAATTCCATGTGAAAATGTAGCATACTGCACTGTAATGGTGTGCACAATGAGAAGCTATTGTTGATTATTCGGAATCTTGTTTTGTTGGGATTTAATTCAAATACCCACACACAGCTCTGCACAAGGCATGTGCACGCACAACACAAAGACACACGTGCAGCCTACACAGGCTGTTGGGGCAAGTGCTGTTAGGGAGAAGCACCTAGCTCGGTAAACGAAGGGTCAGTGGGGCCAGAACCATTCCTGGCCACATTAGTCTCCCCAGTACTGATGCTTACACATCATACCAGATACCCATTTGAGGCTGAGTCTACCTAGGGGGATGCCCAGAATCGTTTCAGATAATCACCACTTAGCCATAGCCAGAAATCTAACTCGGGCCGCCTGATTCGTAAAGAAGTGCGCTAGCCATTACGCACACGTGCACCCACACCACACACAGACACAAGTTACGTGTATGTATGTAAATGTTTGTGTGTGCATAAGCATGCACACAAACACTAATTAATGGGCACTTTTTATTCATACATTTTTCAAATGAAGACCACCATAACAGCATGTTCTGCAGCTTACAAAAATGTGCATCTATCTAACACTCACACATAACGTTCGGAAAAATATAATTTAAAAATATATATCGGGTGAGGGTGGGAATCAAACCGCTGACCGTGCACAAGCTGATGCAATCACAAATCGGCTCACCAGCAGGTAGCCCAAAAAGTCGCGTGCACAGACAGCACGGCAGACACTAAGAGCCAGACACAGACACACACGGCTCATCACAGTTCTCCCGCCCAGCAAAGGCGACAGTGTAATTAAAGTAGTCTGGCTTGAACGCAGTGACAGGAGCTCAATAGCCATTGATGGGTTGTGATAACACATCCACAACTCGGATAAGGGGACCACGATGCTCTCCCCAATGCACACACATCGTTCATTTCGGACGGCGCTCATTACCCAACACTTTCATTCCAGACGCTCGTATTTCCAGACGCTCGTATTTTCAATTATTTTCTTTGTTACAATTTTTTCTCGCGCTTTTTATTTCTCAAGGAGGCGCGCGTTGGATATATTGTGCTTTCTGAACTGCAATTGGTTATCTTAAAATTGTAATTTATACACTCGCAGTGTGTGCGCGCGTGACAATGCGTGCTTATAAATATGGGCACACGCACACACACACACAGAAAGACAAATGCCCTACATTAATATTGGCGACACTCATGATTTGCGTTGCGAGTTACCACATGTAGTGAATGTGTGAATAAATACAGCAATTCCATGTTTTTGCACAGACAAGGTGTTTAAACAAATGTACACCCACACTATAAATGTTTGTGTGTATATATAAAAGCATAAACTATACCGATGGTGGAATTAAGCTGCTGTTACCTGTACAGGGCTCTGTATAAGAACATATTAAAGCAATAGAAGCTGCCATTATCTTGTGTTGATAGCTACATAATGTGAACAGACTTCCTTCCTGTACAACAGTTAACAGATGAGTCACGCATGGTCATTATGAGTGCATGTACACATGACGGAGCTGGCACAATTAACGCGTTGAATTTCAAACCTTGGTATTTTAGTCTCACAAATAATTATGATTTCTTTCATATTTCGTTCATCCTACGATGTTGCAGGTCCTTATCTGGTTTATTTTACCGTCACGTGGATCTATCATTTACGCAGGTCCTGATCTGGTCTCTTTTGCCATCACCTGGATCTATCATTCACTCATTCATTCACACTGACCGTGCGTGTGGCTGTCACGGAGAATATCCGGCGTTGTCAGTGCCAGAACCCTCTTGCTACCTGCAGCAGGGAAGACACCACAGGGACCAGTCACATCCATGCACAGTCAGAAGCCAGAGGCACCTCCAGAGACCAATCCAAGCAGTGCTCTTCAACAGAGGCTGCTCCTGTTGATTTACACAGGCAGGCTACAAATAATACATTAAAACAATGCAACATCTCCATCATTCACCATTTTATAACAAAAACCAGTATCCATGAGCCTAACATTTTCCAAAAACATTTTAGGCTAATACAAATGTTTGGCTGATATGTGTTTGCCATGACCCTGGGGCATGACTCGAAACAAAAAAACAATCAAGGCACAGCACTGGCAGGGGCGCCAAAAGCACAAATCAAACGCCCTAACCCTGCGAGCCATTAACACTGCTTCATCGTGTAAACAACACGGCAAAAGTTTCAGACAATGGAGACATGGCAAGAAAGACGTTAATCAGCCACTTTTAAAGTTCGTGGCTCACCATTACGTAAAATAAAATGTCCATCTGTAAGTCATACGCAATCGATGCACTCTCTCGTGACTATCGTAGAAAATTTCTGAAGGAGAATCGCCCCATGCTTGGCGGAGACTGTACCCAACGCAAGCGTCCTGTACTGTATTCTCCTTCGCAGTTTGTACTGTATTTGCACAGCCCCTTTGTCAATTCACTGCTGGATCAAGGCCTCCCGTGGGGGTTGTTTGACCATACCTCACCATGCTGGTGAGTGCAAGTTTGTGAAGCGGAGACGATGGGGGGGGGAGTCGAGGACCAATTCATAAATCACACACCATGACCTGGAATCAAACTCACGTCGCCAGATCCGTAGCAGAATGTACTAACCATCGTACCAAAACGCTCATTCGTTCCAGTTGACTATCCATGACAATTATAAGGCCCATGCGGGAGCAGCAAAGACAAAGGTACAAGCACACAAAGGCTGCGACCCCACTCTTAGCATCCCTGCCCACTCTCCAGGAGTCAAGTGCAGTTGGCAAGCACCCGTTCTTCCCACCGCGTGCGAGACAACCAATTGAACCCGGGTCAACGAGGCTGATTTGTACCGATCAATGATACATCGCTGGTTGAGAGGGGCACCAGGTTTATAAGCGCGGTCTATTCTTTGACACTGGGTATTGATGGCAATGGGAGCCTGAATATTTAACAAAGATCATAATTGGAATGGGCACTTCATTTTTTTTACCTGGGCTGTGACAACAATCGGTTTCCGGTTCATTAACTTGAGCACTGACGATAATCAATGTCCCGTTTTGTAAACATTACTGGTAACTGGTGCTGTATTCTTTAAACGCTGTAAACTGGGACTTATCTTTAATAGAGTAATCGATACCCTGTTGTTTAATATGGGCATCAGTGCACGTGACTTGTTTTTACCACAGCAATGATGGCAATAGCTTCATTTTCAAGGTGAAAGTCAAAAGGCTGTGCTGAGGGTTTTGCTTACTGTTGACGCTTACGACCAATCTGGGGATAGAATCACATTCACTGGAATTAAACTGCACAGGGAGGAGTCGAAACGTGGTTTGCTAGGATCACAAGAGTAACGGAGCCCACGACTGAACACGGCTTCTCCATGAACTCCTCCACACACATGCACAACATACAAAGACAGGTTGACCATTTAACACTGTAGGCTTGCTGCAGACTTGCTGCAGCACCTGGTTAAGTAAGGCCATTGAGGAGTGTCACACACAATTGGCCACCCACACCAGGTAAAACGTTTCATTGTCGAGTTTATCTCAGAGATGTGTAGGACTGAACCACACTCGAATTTTTACTCATGTCCAGAAATAGAACCCAAAGACCTTCTGTATAGCCTACAGTCAATGTTGCGGGGGGGGAAGGGGGAGCAGCAGGTGCTGTTAGTGAGCAACTGTGAAGGCCAGCACGAAGGTGCACAATGGGGTGGTGTGGCCAGGACTACGCCCAGCTGTGTTTATTTTCCCAGTGATGATATTTACACACTGCACAAGGAACTTATTTTATGGTTGCATTGGCCTAGGGAAGGCCCACGACTGACTGGTTGGCATATCACTCGTCGCTGATGTTCGCCATGGCCGGGGATTGAAGCCAGGTCATCGGGCCCACGGTGCAGTGCGCTAACCACGACACCACCGCTTCCCAAAGTGCACACAGACACATGCACACACATGAATAAACAGCACACATACCTTGCAGCGAGCGGAGAACGCGGTCGTAGCAGAGGAAACTGTAACTGTGTTTGCGCTTGTCTGATGGGGTCTGTGCGAACACCTCCTTCAGATGCACATCCAGGCCGTTGAGCGATGCGAGGTTGGAAGTGAACTGGGCATAGCGCACACACGCACAGCAGGTGTGGGATGAACTCTACTCACAGGGCTGCGTTTATTCCGAGGCCCCGTGTGTTGCGGCGCACACCCACCAGTTCATCCTGGGCAGAGCCGTCGTTCCGCAGCGCATCCTCTGCCAGCAGCACCAGAGTGATCTCGGGCTTGGCCTGCACGTACAGCGCCAGCCGCACAAACCCGCGCGGCGCCTGCGCCGGGAACTCACGCGAGCGAGCGCTCTCCTCCCCGCGAGCTCCTCCACCACTCTCGACCTCCGATGGCGACGACGACGAGAATGACGGCAACGACGCCGATGGCGATGGCGAGGGGAGGCTGGAGTCAGACTCGCTCGCCACACTCACAAAGTGTGCCTGGTCCTCGCCTTGGTCTGCGTCGGGAGAGACGGGCGCTCGCTCGGGCAGAGCGAGGCGCGAGACCCCCGCTGCCCCCGTTCCAGAACCGATGCTGGCAGCTGCCCCTCGCCCACTGCTGCGATTACGCGAGGTTAAAGGTTGCAGCTCAGGTGAAGTCTCCGTGGAATCCAGGAGCATCGGTGCGTCGGAGTCCAGGTGCTGCCTGCCTTCGGACAGCATGACCCCACTAACCTTGTCACTACACTGCGGCAGGCCTCCTCTTCTTGTCTCGATGCTGGGAGCAACATCGCTGCTTACGCTGTCTTCGGAGCTTCCAACCCCCTTATTGCTTCTCTCTTCCTCGTGACCTTTGGCGTCTCGGTGGCATACCACCCCTGCCACGACTCCTCTACTTTTGTGCCATCCGAAGGTCCCCAATGCCTTCCCATCTTCGTGACTTGTGGCTCTGTCATGACCTCCAGGAGTCGCAGGCCCTTGGTCTCCCCGCGCGCGCGCCCTCGCGTTGGTGCTAGTGCCGGCCTCCTCTGCCTCGGAGATGCTCTCCAGGGTGTCGGCCATGGCCACGCTCGCCTCCGAGGCCTGGAACTCCGACACGGAGTTGGTGAGGTCAGCCTTCCACTGCCCGAGCGGGCTGCCAAGGCTGTCTGCGAGCAGCGGCTGGAAGAGGAGCGCTCCACAGCCCGGGACACGGCGCTTGGTGCACTTGGAGCCGGAGCTGCCCTCATCCGAGCTGGAGCTGTCGGATTCCGTGTCCGTGGTGTCGGAAAGGGTGACGGACAGGCGAGGGCGGCCATCGGCACCGCAGGTTCTGCTGACGAGGTCTGACCCTGTGCTGCTGAACCTGCAACCACCGGAGCACACCTCCAATTAGCACGGTTGGCGACGTATGGTACGAAAAAAGCTGTAAAAAAAACTATTTTTTATTTTACCAGGTAAGCTATATTGCTCTTTATCAGAAGCGACCTGGCCACAAATGATAGCTCAACGAAGTGGCTTATCATGTGGAAATGTATAGCAGCCAAATACTCGAAATACATTTTTTTTTAATGTGGAAGGAAAAACCGCAGGACCTGTAGAAAAGTCCACGCGACTACAGGGAGAGAGACACGCAGACTCCAAATATACAGGCGTCAGGGTCGGGATCGAACAGCAAATTAACATTTCGTCACCGTGGCGTCTAGTTCAACATACATATAGTTCAACATACATACAGGCCAGGGTGTTATACCAGCAGGTGATGCTATCCATCCCAGTGAACCTGCGACTGCAGTGAAGGTCAAAGCCTAATGACTTGGGCTAATAATGAACACGACTTGGGCTACATTACCATATTTATACAGTGGCTGTGGAAAAGCTCCCTCCAGCCGTGTGAGCATATTGACCCCATGTACTTTACACTTCCCCTGGACAACGTGGTGTCGGCAATCCTGGCACCAAAAACAAATCCCTGTGTTCGATTTTCCCTTTTCCCCTCGCCTAACAGGTAGATGGGGCAGCACAAGGCCGTATTGGCGAAAAAGGAAAAGTTTGAAATTAGTTTTCATTAAAGACAAAGGCTTGTTGCATTGACGGGAATCACCCTAATTACGGCAGAGCAAGTTATTTTATCTGCACTCCTGTTGAATGAGAGAGTCGATTTGTAAACATGTGTGAGGATACATTCGTTTGAGATCATGTGAGGCTCTCTGTGTTGTATGGACTCGCTGCGATGAACACGTGCTTCCTTTATGGAAATGAACAGTCACAAGGAAATAATTAATTCCCGTTCTAACACTTCAAACGGCACCTCTTAGCCGAAAATTAATGCAGTGAAAATTTTACGTGTCGCACTAACAGCGTTCACATGTTTAATAAGATAAAAAAATGAAACCTGACACAAACTCGTTATGTGTTGATGTGAAGCATCATGGGTAAAATAAAATATAAGCAGCGCTCCACTCTTTCCCTTCATATATAAATACAAACAATGTTTTAGTCCAACGGCTGATTAGCATTCCACACCAATATTATGATTTAAAGCTGTTCCAGTTCAAGTTATAATAGCATATATATATGCATGTGGTACTACAAAAAAAAGTCCATTTACCATGTGAATAAAACGTATGAAAATGAAAATAAAGGCTAAACTAGTGCTAAATCTAGCATGAAATTAAATTATTGTAGTCACCTGTACATCTTTCTGCTGTTGGCCAAGACGGTTTTCCTGTTCAATGAAAATCACTTTTTTGCATTAAATTTCATCAACCGGACGGTGCATAACCACTGGAGCAGAAACAATTTATTTATGGATATTTTATGTGTAGGTATGTTCATTCAAATGCAACCATTGGGTGGGAGTAAAGCTATTTTTTGTTTAATATGGCCTCCAAATAATGAGTGGGATGGCTGCCCCATAGAGCAGTCGAACACACAAGTTCAGCGCTGGTCAGTCGGGGCGTATATATATTCGTCAAGAGCAAGAAATCCTCACAATAATGGTACATGGCGTGGAATTGTGTGCAAGAACTGCATACGCTTTTACGCAAAACGTTATGAAAACGATGAGAAAATGTTGCACCGGGGCTATTTATTGAAGCGAACAAGACGGAAGCAGACAGAACATATTAGACAAACAATATAAAGGAGACGGTCAAAACAAAACGAAAAAAAAGAGGATCGGTCGGATATTTAAAAAATTCCCATGTGACCACGGCCCTCCCCCACCCCCCAGTCGCGACAATTCATCCAATCACGGTGGGGATGAACCCGTCACATGGCTACTCTCAAGCAGGGCGTCAATAAGCGATGGCCGCCAATAGGTGTGAAATCGGTCAATGGTAGTCATGGTGCTTTAATTGCTAAGAATACTTTAAAGATCACGATGCCGTACCTACCCCGGGGGGCCCCTTATCGCAATCTGCTAAGATTTACAAGTGTCACAGAGGCCGTCTACCCTACAGGCACGTGCCACAGAGCCAGTTTCAATAGAGTATGTGGTGCGAGGCCTGCTGCTGATCAGTAATTTCTAACTGGTAACTGCCAAAGCATGCAGTACGTTAATGAAGTCGATAACAAAGACTCCGCGCCATTATTTTCGAGAGCAGGCCACTGCATGCCATTGCAACGGCCTAAAGCTCTATATATTTCTAAATGACACACTACATAATTACAAAATTTGAATAGACGAATTGCATCAATTGAATGACAATCAGCCCAGTGTCACTGCATTTTGCAATCACTGTGTAGTCGCGAGGGTATCTGGATACTAGAGGGACTGCACCAAGAAATCCAGAAAATTTATCTTAATGGGTGCTCACATGCATGCAAGTCAGAGATTGGAAGACAAAGAAAATATAATCACTCTGCAAAATATATATGGAAAAAAATGCTACAAAATCTCTAAAAACTAAAATCACAACTATGCCCCAAAATAACTGCACCGTAGCCTCCGGGAAGTATGCATGTGGCTAATCCCGCACGGACTATCTGGCTGCTTGGGAAGGGGCCCGATGTGATGGATAACATCGTCATTACGGTTAAGGATGAGGTGCCAGGGGCACGCTGATCCACAGGCTGCGGTGGGGTAGGGGACGAGGTAGGAACAGTCGCCTTGGTCAATAGGCAAGTCGTGTTAAACGGCAACAGTGCAGGTCACGGATAACCTGGCAATCGCAGAGGTCAAACCTGCCATTTCAATGCCCTCAGCGGACACGCCACCGTTAACGCTTCAGTGTGCCAAATTAACTCATTTATAACGTTTCCTTATCCATACAAAAGCCTGTTTAAAATTCCTTTGTGAAACGTGACTCTGAATGAGCACGACGAATGGCAGAGCTCTCCGCGTGGTCTCTGTAGGTGGCACGTCGCCGCAGATAGACCCAAACTAATTTTCATCGTCAAACGCGAGGACAATGCGCGGATATGCAACTCGCGAATTGTGCTCGTGCAGATAATGAACGCTGGGCGCCGTGGCCGTGCGGAGCGAGAATTCTCATCACCACCACGCACGGGGGAGGGCGGCTGCTTCCACTCCACCCCATCTGGCAATCCACACACGGGTGCCTTCAGCACTGCCGAGTGAAACAGAAACACAGAAGTGTACGCCGCGATCACCTTCAGGCATCGCTGAATGCAGATTCTATTTAAATTAAAAACACTAATTGTCTACCTTTTTTAAACGCTGCGCTGCGGTCCCAGCAAGTAGGAACGGCCAATTGTGCAAGCCGCTATTTGGCGTGGAGCTAGTTTGCACTGTGTGCCTCGGGTATCACTCATTAACGTGGAGACGACTGGGAGGCTTCAGAATACAGAGGGCGAGTTTCAAAGTGCAATGTACATGACGCAATGGGCGGATTCATGTCGGTGGGGAGTGGTAGTGTAGTGGTTCGTGCGCTGCACTACGAACCCGGTGACCCGAGTTCGATTCCTGCTCACGGCTACTAACACCAGTGGCAATTATCTGAAGTTGTACTGGATCTCTCCTAGGTAGACTCAGCCTCAAATGAGTACCTGGTTCGTGTGTGTAAACATCACCACTAGGGAGACGCAGGCGGCTGGGCGTGGTGCTGGCCACCCACACCCTCGTGTACCATGCTGGCCTTCATAGGTCCTCGCGAACAGCACTTGCCCCAACCGTCTGTTAAGGCTATACGGGGGATCTTTGTCTTTGTTCTGCATGCATGTAAACGGCGCAGTGTGCCAAGTGGGGTGTAGCGCGCAAGCAGATGCTGCATCCTTCAATCTGTGCGAAGGGTACACGTAGCAGGCTTTCGCGCTCAACATTATGATTCACAACAGATTGTTTGGGTCAGATCGCATAAATAAAATGTGTGTCGTAGACCCTCCTCTACCTGACACAGCCAATGAATAAAGTGGTCACGTGAACAAACGTACCAATTTATTACTGCTTCAGCAGCAGGGCAACCCCCCAACATTGAAATAGTTACGTATGACGTTTTGCTGATAGTTACAACGAAGAGTAGAGGTTTGCAGTGTGCAGGAGCAGGCATGGTATGCAACATGTGCCGCCTAAGGGGAGAGGTTCCAGTAGCTATGGTCCATCGTGTTGTGTTGTGTGTGCAGTAGCTGAGTGCACAGGGTGTAGTGCGTTCAAAGTGTTAGAATTCAGCGTGCACTGTGCGGTGTTATTCCTCTTCTTCAGCCTCTCCTTCCTCACTTCCTTGCCTTTTCTCACCAGGCGGCTCTTTCCATCGCACTCTCCCCCCTCTCCTTCGTTTATAATTCTGTCTTCATCTCCGAAAATAGCGCTGGCACCAACAAAACTGGGCCACCAACACGATCAAGCCACTGCCTTCTGAATAATAAATACTTGCAAGCATCACGTTGCAGCCCAACGCAGACGAATCGCGGCGCGAGCCTAACTCAATAGCAAAAACACAAAAGGTAGGTCAACGAACGCGTTTTCATTTGACAAACGCAACGTAGTTTTGTGCAAACCGATGACATTTGGTGAAATTGCTTGACCTGGTCGTTGCGCACTCGGCTTTCCGTGACTGCGGCGAGCACCACGTTTCAATGATGGGTTGGTCTAAGATTTGCGCCAGATTGCAAACAAAAGCTTCATTTACACGCGACGCCGTATTTGTAGGATTTTTCGAGGCATTTTCTCAGAACGCAGACCCTGGGGTCGCGCCCCACATTCCCCCCGTTCAAGATTCTGTGCCGAGCATCGACAGGTCCGTTCAAAACTGGCTCACGTCTCTCTCCTAAACCACGGAGCCTGATGACGAAATAAAAACGACCATCACACACAAAAACAAACATCCACCTTCACTTTGTACCTGCCAAATTAATTACCTCCTTCCGCTCTGTCACCACATAGCAGAACAAACATTTTCACTT